TCGGGAAACATGGTTAAGGTTAACTGATGGCGGATGTGGAAAGCCGATGTTTCAAACCAAACTTGAAGGAGTTTTCTTACTGCACAGTGTTTGCGTACCTGTTCCAAAATTTGCTCAAAAATGTATTTTTATTTACCATGAAAGTACCCTAATGGGTGCTAAATAAAGCTATTTGTTGTTATTGATATTGGTATAATGCGTCCGCTGGGCCACTACGATAATATGAACATATTTTTTAGTGTAATATATCCCTATCTTTCGGTTGTAAACTCCAAGTACACAGCTCAAATAAATCCTAATCTCATTTCCGCCACCCTACACCTATGTTTTATTTCCTCCCAGCAAACTGCTGGTGTTCTGACAGACTCCACATACAGTACCTGTGCTAACTCATGAAATGTCACGAATTAACACAGGTTAACGCCTTTAACGCAAAATCGGTAAACACTACGGCTCCCAAAGTATGTAGCTAATTCAACTGCACCAAGAGGACGAGATCTTCATCATTTACGGGTTGGGTGGTGTGTTGTAGGTTGTTTCGCCTTGGCGACGATTGTGAAGCTGACGACATTCCGATCTTGCTTCTGCCATACGTCAAGACTGAGGGCATATAGAAAGGGATCTATCAAGAGCGTTGTGAGGCGTTTCCATGCGGACAGTACTTTCGGCATCTCTTACATTTAGTACGTCGGTTAGTCGAGGTAGATCAGTCAAACCGTCCCATTTGGTGGCTTCATAGAATACGAGATGGTGAATGATCATTTGAGTACATTTTACCAGAAAATTGTATTTGAAAAGGCATATGGTAGGGATTTTACCTGTCCTGACTGTAGGACGCACTACGGCGGTTCTAAGCCTAAGGTAGGGCTGGCTGGTGAGGGCCAGTTGGCCGACTGCCTGTCGTACAAGTGGCCAGACATAACTAGTCCATCCATAGAGGTCTCAAAGCTGGAGAGGAGGGTTAGGGTCAAGAGGAGGAGGGGGTTGTGATATGGAGAAAAATATAAACCCTAAAAGGCAGCCCTAAAAGGCAGCCCCACCTACAATTTGGCAAAGTGGATGTACTCAAAACTGAAGTTCCTCCAAGGCAATTCGACTACCTCAGTTCGATCAGCCTCTCAATTCCGCATAGACCTCCGAGGTCGGGGGATTCAATCGGACGAAATCATGGTCTCCTTCGATGTGACGTCGTTATTCACATCCATCCCACCAAACGTGGCCCGCGAAGTCTTGCGCAAGAGACTTGAAGAGGCGTACGATGAGACTCAGAATGCCCTCAAAATTGAACACCTCATGAGGCTGTTTGAATTCTGTCAACAAACGTTCTTCACTTTTGCGGGAGAGACCTATGAACAAATCAAGGGAACCCCAATGGGCTCACCGGTCTCCGGTTTGGTGGCAGAACTGGTTCTACAGGAGTTGGAAAAGATTGCCTTCCTCCAACATGAACCGGTGTTTTGGCGACGTTACGTTGACGACACGTTCGTCATCGTAAAGAAGGACATGCTGCAACATTTTCACAGCCTGCTCAACGCAGTCTTCCCGGATATAAAATTCACGAGGGAAGAAGACCAAGAACAGCAGTTGCCCTTCCTGGATGTGCTCGTCAGACGAAACCTTAACGGTGAACTTGAAACAACTGTTTACAGGAAGGCTACGAACACCACACAGCTTCTCAGTTTTCACAGCAACCATCCGGTGGCTCACAAACGAAGCTGTGTGAAGACACTCTTCAAACGGATCCAAACTCATTGCAGCAAACTGGAAGATAGAGCGCGTGAGGCCCGTTATCTCCGCGACCAGTTTGTGCAAAATGGCTATCCGAGGGCATTCATAAGTCGCTGCCTACGCGGTCGCCACCAGAGAACTCAAACATCAACGCCACCGACGATATGGCACGCTCTGCCATACATCAAGGGTGTTTCAGAAGCGACCGAGCGCATTGCTGCGGAGCTAGGGGTTGGAATCGCACACCGCCCCAAAGCCACCATGCGCAACAGGGTCATGAAGATCAAAGACCGGTTAAAACCTGAAGAGCAATCTGGAGTAGTGTATCGCATTCCGTGTCAAAATTGTCCTTGTGACTATACGGGACAGACTGGACGCATGCTCGGATCGCGCATACATGAACATAAGCTGGCTGTGAGGCGAGGCGACGCATTGTCACAAGTGGCCGCCCACACCTACGAAATGGGTCACGAGTTTGACTTCGCAGTCACCAAAATAGTCGCCCACGCCGGAAACAAAACAGGCCGAGAATTGATTGAAGCCTGGGCCTCGGATGAGAACTCGGTCAATCGATTTATCGATCTGGCGCCGGCGTACAGAGCCCTTCGTAGTCACCTCCAGTCGTGCGACGTCGGTCGATGATTGGGTCTACGTGCCTTATAACTGCCGCTTGTCCTGTTTCTGCCACTACCTCTGACGATGGACTCCTGTACGAGTCTGAAAGCTCAGGATAATAAACGAATTGTTCCGGTGCTCGATTCTTCTTCTTCTTCAAATATTTATACACCTGGAACTCGAAATTTCGCCTTCATTCGATAAACCACAATCGCCAGTTTAGGCAGGCTTTCGGTAGGTGCACGTTATGCCATCACATACGCCGCAACTGCACGAAACTCTTCTGAACGCAGGGAACAGGGCTCGGGGTTCATAACGAATTATCCTTACAATTAACAAATGCAAGATAAGATTGCCTAACTACAATACCTCCGACGGGTCTTCAAAGCCAATGGCTACCCGCGCAACTTCGTCAACCGGTGCATACACAAAAGGGATGAAAGGCCAAACCGCACGGACTCCAAATTTGGATGAGCTCCTCAATACGTCAAGAAGGTTTCGGAAGCTGTTGGCCGCCTTCTCACACCACTTGAAGTTGGAGTTGCACACAGACCAGAGGCAACTATCAGGTGTCAGGTAATGGAACCGAAAGATCCGCTGTCACGGCAAGAAACGTCTGGAGTCGTTTATCGGATCTGGTGCAGTTGCGGACAAAGCAACTACGTCGGAGAAACCGGAAGACAGCTCCGAACGCAAATGGCCGAACACGCTGCAGCCGTGCGGAGAAATGACGCCAGTTCTCCAGTTGCGGCTCATTCGACGAGATCCGACCACGCATTCAAATTCGACAAGACCAAACTTCCAGTTAGTAATGGTAACCACATGAACCGTGGGTTGCTTCAGTCATGGTTCACTGGTCCCCAGTCAATTAACAAGTGCAATGACCTTCCCCTTCCATACTCGGCGCTGAGACTTCGCCTAGGCGGAGCAATTAGCCACGCGGGGAGCGCGCATGTGAACACTTGTCCCAACATCAGGGTCGGTGAGTCAGATGGTCGAGCCATTATCACACCAACGTCCAACGCGCGTGATGAAATTGCAGCAATTAACGGCGCGAATATCGACCATCAAACAGTCATCACACCAAGTGCGACGATCCCTGATGAAGGGGGGAGCCACGGTAGTATGGCGACTGCAGCCCCTTATGCATGAACCACCCGTATCTGCTGCTGTCTCTGATGATGGGTTCAAGCAGGAATCCGAAACGTCGGGTTAACTAATCTCTTGTCCCAACGATCATGTCTCCTTCTTCAAGACTACTTCCTGGGACTCGTCTCTTCGCCTCTATTAACAAATGCAGTTGTCTGCCGTACAGTTATCATCCTATGAAGATGTGCAATAGGCAGATGAATCATTTCCAGAAAGGAAATTTGTCTACTTGCATGCGTTTAGATCCCGTTGTTCTGTGTCGGTCAATAAAAACAGCAAGAACCTTCTGCATTACTGGACGTGTCCTGAGTGGCCGTACGATTTTACTTCCCAGATTATTAGGCGCGCAGTCATCGGTCATTGACGGCCGGAAGTTCCTTGATCGTTGCGACCTCGCGCAAAACATAAAAACCTTCAAAAACTACTAAAATTGGAGGTAGAAACACTCTGTCCACCAAATGACCATTTGCACACAGGAAAGGACTAAGGAGCCTGGACTGCAAGAGGGTGAATCCACGAGGACATGACCCGTGAAAGTAACAAATGTGACCCCCACTCTAGAAAATGGACCTATCCAGCTAGCCGAGGGATTAGTCAGGAAGTTTGTCCAGGCTTTCGCGTGCTGGTTTCTCCTGTGTCCTGAACCAGACCTCGCGTAGTGATGTTAATTACCTGGGCGAGACTGTTTTAGCCCCGTTTTGGATCCGACATGCGACCCCATCTACTTATTGGATAGATGACGAATATATGTACCCCGCTGGACTTTTTTTCCTGCAATGCTTTGCTAATTCAATAAACCAGGCATCCAAAGCGAATACGAGTTTTTACTTCATTATGCTTAGGAGAAAAATCTCTTCTTTACTAAGAGAACTCTATTACCTTCAATCAGTGCAGTGCTCCGTAGTTCATGGAGGGTGGGGGGGGGGGGGAGCACAAACGCCCAGCTTCGACAACTTATTGTTCTTACTCTTTTCTACTTGATAGCATAGTTAGACAGCACTTGACAGAGGGCAGAAATTTCGCTGATCGATTTGTCCGTTAGACCGTACACTCAGAAACCACAACACCTCTCCAATGCCACTGTTGAATGTGGTTCATAATGCCTGCAAGAACGGTACCAGCAGAATCAACCTGCTCTAATGTCCTCCCACATTAAAGAGCGTATGTTTAAGTTGAGTCTCTCCTACTAAGGCCCTGAACAGTTTGAGTACTGCGTCTTGCATTATGATTGCATGTATATCAAATCAGTAGAATTGCATCCCCTATGTTGTTGCCATCTGAAGTTACCACGTTTTTATTTTCTATGGTGTACGCTATTGTGAAGGGATTAAGAGAAGTTGGATTACTTTAAAATATATCATTTTCGTAGTATATAGCCGAACGTCGGCTGAACCACTGCAGCTCAGGGAAACTAATATGGTGAACGTGCTGCCGAAAGCCCCATTTTTGTGTAAGGTAACCAAATGCAGACGTTTACGCAGTAAAAGTAAGCAGAAATTATGTAAGCATGGATTTCAGTTTGTGGATATGTTTGTACAACGTGCAGTTCAGCCCATCAATTTGGCAGACCCCACCCACGTTCAAGGTAATACGTAATATCATCCCAGACCGATTTGTGACCTATCGCACGACCAGACTCCCGGAAACCGAGCTGTAATCTGCTACGTTGACTGTTGTACGGGTTTTATTTCCCTCCCCAGTAGTGACTTTATTTCTTTTCACCCATATTAGGGTCAAGATGCTTCGGGTACCTTTGCGCTAAAGCGCAAACTGTTTTGGACGCATATACATGTGGTCACTTGGTGTTTGCGCCCATAACCAGTGCATTGGCGAAGAGCACAGCCAGTTGCAATCTAGAAATGTCTAACAGATACATAACTGCAAGGTTAGGTGTTCATAGGAATAGGACTCTGTGTGGCAGTAGGACAACAGAGAATGCCAGTAGACTGATGCAATACTGTTTCGGGCGTATTCTGCTTCATCCTGCTTCGGTAAACCGATATATCGGTGCTCAGCGACAGATCATGACTTGTGATGAGGCATTGGTGAACTTCCGTTCTTAAAAATGCTTATGATCCATTTGATAGAGCCCTTCTGTGAATCACCTATGCCATCTGCGAGCGCATGTTTGGGTTTCTGGTCCCAGCTGGTGTCCAGGGTTTATGACGGGCAAAACGAAGCATTGTATCCGTCTACCCGCATTCTCCCTCGTCCCTCCTCTCCGCTGTTTTAAGCTGGTCAACTTCGGCCTGATATTTGGCTACCTGTCCATGACCTTTGCCATCCAATACGGAGATATTTTTCTTAAAAACACCAATAGATCGGTGTGCGCCCATCCCTGGTCACGTTGGTGTATCCTTGACTGCCTACAACATCACTACAAACAATACGGGAGAAGTACATACACACGAGGCATTTTCGCCCTCAATTATCCACCACTGCCTCTGAAAGGCTGTAAGAATAGGAACAGCATGATAGGACTGAGTGCTCGACACTTTAAAAATAGTAGTTGGGACGGCTGCCGACTGAGGAGATAACCCCGCCCTCCGACCGAGAGTCAGACTACAACGGCTCCTTCCTAACGTGGGCCTCAAGTTTCCACCACTGCCTCGAAAAGTAGGATTGAAGAATTTGCTGATTATTCTCTCCCTCTCGTAGTGGGAAGGACGCTTTTCTTTCATGGCAGACGACAAAGATATTATACGTCCAAGTGTGCTTCTAAGCCTAGCTTGCACTGGGCCCTTCGCACTCCAACTACGTCGCTGGGACCAGGAACTAGCAAAGAACGCTCTTGAAAAAGCAGGTCATGACAGTGTTGAGGACGAGCGCCTTGGCACTGGTGACAGTACAGTGCGCCATAGCCTACTCCGTGTTCGCCATTGAGGACATCGAGGTAACTGACGGAGGGGACGACTGCATCATCATGGCAGATGGGGCCATGGGGTACAAGTCACAGTGGGCAGCTCAACGAGGGCAATTAATGCCAGTGCAGGGTCAGGCGATAATTGCAATGCAGTGATA